CCAAGTTGCCCAGGCGGGTCTCAAACCCATGGGCTCAGGCAATCCACTCACCTCAGCCTCCCAAAGCGTTGGGATTACAGGCTGAGCCACCGAACCCAGCACAAATATGTCTTTATATGCTCACATTTAAATGATAGTTAACTGGATAGAGAAGTCTAGATCGAAAAGAATTTTCCTTCAGTATTTTGAAGACATTGCACCATTTTGTTTGGTCTTCCTTTTGTTTTAATTGACAAAAAATGTATACATGTATTGTGTACAACATATTGTTTTGAAATAGGTAGCTGGGCATGGTGGCTCACACCTGAAATCCCAATACTTTGGGAAGCAGAGGTGAGAGAATTACCTGAGCTCAGTGGTTCGAGACCAGCCTGGGCAACATGGCGAGACCTCGTCTCTACAATAAATCAAAAAATTATCCAGTCGTGGTAGTAGGCACCTGTAGTTTCAGCTACTTGGAAGGCTGAGGCAGAAGGATCGCCTGAGCCCAGCAAGTGGAGGCTGCGGGGGCCAGGAGCATGCCACTGCACTCCAGCCTGGGCGACAGAGTGAGACTCCAACTCGAAAAAAAAAAAAAACCCTAAATGTACAGGCTGGGCAACATGGTGAGACCTTGCCTCTACAAAAAATAAAAACAAAAAAATTAGCCAGGCCTGGTGGCACAAGTCTAGTCCCATTATTTGGGAGGCTTAGGCAGAATAGCCTGAGCCCAAAGGGTTAAGGCTGCGGTGAGCCATAATTGTGCCACTGCACTCCAACCTGGTTGACAGAGTCCTGACTCACCCCGACTCAAAAAACCCCAAAAAACCGAAAACCTAAATGTAAAAGGCAAAACTATAAAATCTGTAGTAGGTAATATAGGAGAGCATTCTTTTTTTTTTTTTTTTTTTTTTTGAGTCAGTGTCTCACTCTGTTGCCCAGGTTGAGTGCAGTGGCATGCTCACAGCCACCTCAGCCTAGACCTGCTGGGCTCAGGCGATTCTTCTGCTTCAGCCTTTCAAGTAATTGGAACTACAGGTGCACACCACCACACCCGGCTAATTTTTTTATTTATTGTAGAGACGAGGTCTCTCCAAGTTGCCTAGGCTGATCTCGAACCCCTGGATTCAGGCAATCCTCTCGCCTCGGCCTCCTAAAGTGCTGGGAATACAGGCTTGAGCCACCACGCTCGGCCAGAACATCTCTTTAACCCTGGGTTATAAGAGAACTCTAAAGATAGGCACTAACCATAAAGGAAAAGATAAATTTGGCTACAATAAATCAACAACTCTTGTTTACCAAAAAATATAATAAAAGAGAACAAAAAGATGAATTTTCATTACTGTCATCTCTTGTCCTGTGCTCTTGTGATATGCCGTTATAAAAATCCCTTTATTAAGCCGGGCTCAGTGGCTCAGCCTGTAATCCCGCGCCTTTGGAAGGCTGAGGTGAGCGGATTGCCTGAGCCCGCAGGTTCGAGACCCGCCTGGGCAGCGAGACCTCATCTCTACAATAAATCAAAAAATCAGCCGGGCGTGGTAGTACGCGCCTGTAATTCCGGCTACTCGGAAGGCTGAGGCGGAAGGATCACCGAAGCCCAGCAGGTCAAGGCTGCAGTGACCGGGAGGGGCCACTGTACTCCAGTCTAGGCGAAGGAGTGAGACTCTAACTCAAAAAAAAAAAAAAAATCCCTTTATTGCCGGGCTCGGTGGCTCAGCCTGTAATCCCACGCCTTTGGGAGGCTGAGGTGAGTGGATTGCCTGAGCCCACGGGTTCGAGACCCGCCTAGGCAGCGAGACTTCATCTCTACAATAAAAAAAAAAAAAAATCAGCTGGGCGTGGTAGCGCATGCCTGTAATTCTGGCTAGTTGGAAGGCTGAGTCGGAAGGATCGCCAGATCCCAGCAGGTAGAGGCTGCGGTGGCCGGGAGCGGCCACTGCACTCCAGTCTGGGCGACAGAGTGAAAAAATTTTTAAAAATTAAAAAATTAAAAATAAAAATAAAAATCCCTTTATTGTCATTTTCATGGGATTTCCAGAGGAAATGGAGGTAAATAAATGTGTAAGATCTGGCATTCTTAACCACAATGTTAAACCACTTTTTTAAGATACAAGGTCTCAGGGCAACCCCTTCGGTCCCCTCCCACTGTGGGAGCTTTCCTGTCCTTTCAATAAATCCTGCTTTCTCACTTTAAAGAAAAAAAAAAAGATACAAGATCTCATTCTGTTGTCCAGGCTGGATACAGAGGTATGATCATAGCTCCCGCAGCTTCAAACTCTTGGGCTCCAGGGACCATTCCACCTCAGCCTAAGCAGCTGGGACTATACGCACATCCCACCATGCCCAGCTAAACAAAATTTTCTTGTTATGTTGCCCAGGCAAGTCGCAAACTCCTGGCCTCAAGCAATCCTCAGCCTCCTGAGTAGCTGAGATTATTTTTTTTTCCCATTCTCCCTCCCCCAACCTCCTCCTTCGCCTCCCTTCCTCCTCTGGCCCACTGAAGTACCAAAGGTAAGACACTAGAAACTTTTTTTTGTGTGTGTGTCAGAGTCTCACTGTCTCCCAGGCTGGACTGCAGTGGCACAAATCATGGCTACCACAGCCTTGACCTGCTGGGTTTAGGCGATCCTTTCACCTCAGCCTTCCAAGTAGCTGGAACTACAGGGGTGTGTCACCATGCCCTGCTAATTTTTTGATTTATTGTAAAGATAAGATCTCACTATGTTGTTAAGACTGGTCTTGGATCCCTGAGATCAGGCAATCTTTTTGCCTCCCCGTCCCAAAGTGCTAGGATTACAGGCATGAGCCACCATGGTTGGTTAGAAACTTCTTTAATGAAAAAAAGACCTGATAACATTTGTGCTAGTTATATTTTCTCTAATATACATAAAAATAAAAAATAATGCCAGGTGCAGTGGCTCATGCCTGCAATTCTAGCACTTTGGGAGGTGGCGCTGAGAAGATTGCCTGAGCCCAAGGTTTGGAAACCAGCCTGAGCAACATGGTGAGACCTCGTCTCTACAATAAATAAAAAAATTAGCCAGGTGTGATGGCGCACGCCTACAGTTCCATCTGCTTGGAAGGCTAAGGCAGGACTGCCTGAGCCCAGCAGGTTGAGGCTACAATAGCCATCAGTATGCCACTACATTCCAGCCTGGGCAAGAAAGTGAGATTAGGACTCAAAAATTAAAATTAAAATTAAAAAATAGCCAGGAAAGTAGTCAGGTGCAGTGGCTCACACCTATAATCCCAGCATTTTGGGAGGTCAAGGCAGGGGCAGATTGCTTGGGCCCAAGATTTTGAGACTAGGCTGGGCAACATAGTGAAACCTCGTCTCTACAAAAATAAAAAAAAAATTAGCTGATATGGTCATATATACCGCACCTATAGTCCCAGCTACTCAGGATGCTGAGGTGGAGGGATCGCCTGAACCCAGGAGGTTGGGGCTGCCATGAGTCATGATCGTTGTGATCATGCCACTGAGCTCCAGCCTGGATGACAGAGTGAGACCCTAACTAAAAAAAAAAAAAAAAAAAAAGCCAGGCGGGTGGCTCAAGCCTGTAATCCCAGCACTTTGGAAGGCTGAGGTGAGAGGACCGCCTAAGCCCATGGGTTCAAGATCAGCTTGGGGCAACATGGTGAGACCTCGTCTCTACAATAAATCAAAAAATTAGCCAGGTGTGGTAGTACCTACCTGTAGTTCTGGCTACTTGGAAGGCTGAGGTAGAAAGATCACCGGAGCCCAGCAGGTTGATGCTGGGGTGGCCGTAAGAGTGCCACTGCACTCCAGCCTGGGCGATGGAGTGAGACTCCAACTCCAAAAAAAAAAAAAAAAAAAAGGCAGTAAAATAAATATTTGCCTATGTACTTCCTCAAATTATCTCATGAACTCTCCAGTCAGTGATTCCACACTCAGGGAAGCAGTTATCCTATATTTCCACACCCAAACCCTTTTTGTGGAAATCTGATGCATCCCTTTCTAGAAATTCCCTGGAATTATCTCTAGTTAATCTTCTCAGTAAGAGAAATCATTTTCTACTGGTGCCTGACCCTAGAAGTAGAAGAAGAATGATTTTTGTTTTAGAAGTAGAACAAAAAATTAAGAAGTAAGGAGAATTATTTTGGGGGTCAAAATAATTTGGGAAGTCCTCGAAGGTTCTAGAAAATGAAATTGTCTTGGCTGGGCGTGGTAGTTCACGCCTATAATCCCAGCACTTTGGGAGGCAGAGGTGGGAAGACTGCCTGAGCCCAGGGGTTTGAGACTAGCCTGGGCAACATGGCGAGACCTCATCTCTACAAAAAACCAAAAAATTAGCTGGATGTGGTGACATGTGCCAGTGGCTCCAGCTACTTGGAAGGCTAAGGCATAAGAATCGCCTGAGGCCAGCAGGTTGAGGCTGCGGTGGTTGTGATTATGCTACTGCACTCAGCCTGGGAGATAGAATGAGACTCCAATTCAAAGAAAAAAGAAAAGAAATAGCCTTGACAAAACCAAGACCAAGGAATTAGCATAAATAAAGGTTTTTTTATTGGCCAGTTTGGGTGAGTGACATACTGACATGCTCCCAATTCACCGTTTCACATCTCCAAGCTCCTGAGGTGGCAGGAGACGGAGCTGAGCTTATTGATGGTGGACAATGGGTGGAGGTGGAAAGAATCCAAAGGCCTCTGGGGGTTGGTTTAACAAGGCTACCGGGACCGGAACCAACGTCCTAGGAATAAATCCAGGATGGAAAAGGCATCATCTAGGGTTGGTGGTCTTGGTGGTTCTGGATCTAAGGAAGAAAGTCATACAAATAGATAAGCTAAATGACAGAGAATGGGCAGAGGCAAAGGAGAGAAACCATATTAAAAGGTAAAAGAAAGACTCCCTACCCCAAGGAGTCTTAGGATGGAACCCTCTGAATCACTCTTAACTTACCACTTCTAGGACTGCTATCTGCCTCTTGTCGGGTTACTGTGGTCTCTCTGTGGCCCTCACTGTCCACCACAGTCCGATGCTCTTCTACCACCTGCAAGGAAACATCCCCACCATATTCCTAACATCACTAAAGGTTATGTCCAGTGGTTTCTCTATAGAGACTCCTCTTTCCAAGGCAGTCCATGGTGTTTTCTTTACCCCTCTCTTTCAACTCACCCCGTCTGGCTTAGTAATCTTAGTCACAGAGATGCTCTTGAAATAAGATTTGGGCTGGGGCTGCAGAACTGGGCCAAGACCCTCCTGGGAAACCCGCGAATCAAGATCTAGAAGGGCAGAGAGATGAAGAACCAAGAGAAAAAGAGTACAAGAATAAAAGGTGAGAAGAAACTTCGGGGGGAAGAGGGGTAGAATAGAACTGCTGAAGACTAACAGAGGGCTGGTAAACACTCCCTCTTCCAGACTCACCATTGTCCTCTCTGGCTCTGGGATGGGGGGTCACAGGCCACACATCATCAAACTGCAGGATAAGCCACAGTAGGAAAAAGACATCTTCCAATCTGAAACTCGGAAGGTCACAGACCCCAAGATACTCCCAAGCTCCATAACTGCTTTCCCAGGAGAAAGAATTCCATTCTGGATAACTCTATTTACCCATTCCTTCTTTCTTCCTGGCTGTTTATGTATCCTTCTACCAAAAAGTGTTCCTAAACTGACACTTTCCTATCCTCCCTAAACAATCCTGCTTGATCCAAGAATCACCTAGACCAGTGATTTTTGTTTGTTTTAAATTTTATTTATTTTTATTTTAAAGATGTGAGGTTGTTTTGTTTTTAAAGAGACAGCAGAACACTGATTTCTTTTCCCCCAAAGAAAATTCTACAAGAAGCTTAATATAGAAAACACATATATACTAAGTGGAGGGCCTAGGATTCCAACCTCAGTCTATCAGATTCAAACAAGGACTACAATCTTTGCACTTAGTGTCTCCCACAGGCTCTCACTTGAGGCCCAGATGGGGTACTCACCCTATGAAAAGGTCTCTGGGAGCCCCAGTCTGGCGCTGGTTTTGAGGATTCGGTTCTTGCATCACTCTCCGAGACCCCCCCAAAGATCCTGGGCTGGTGACTATCTGGATACTTAAGCATTGAGTCCCGAAGTGTCTGTCCCTCCTGCAGTCTCTCACCAGGTGTCTCTGACTGGGGACCTGGAAGTTCTACAGAAAGGTGACAGGTGGATGCTGAGGTGGGAAAGGACTAGTTGGACTCCTTCCTTTTTTTTTTTTTTTTGAGAAGTGGTCCTGCTCTGTCATCCAGGCTGGAGTGCAGTGGCACGATCTTGGCTCACTACAGCTTCAACTTCCTGGGCTCAAGAGATCCTCCTTCTGCCTCGGTCTCCCAAGTAGCTAGGACTAGAAGTGCACATCACCACACCCAGTTCATTTTTTTTTTAAATTAGGACTTGGGTTCTTTTAAAACTCCCTGAAATCACCAGTCTTCTCACACTTCCCATCCCCCAACGACTCCCTGCTGGCTCTGTATTTCACCCACCAACCCACTAGAAACCACGGGTTCTCCCTCAGGGAAAGCCACACACCAGGAGGATGGGAAGGCAAGGTCCAGGCCCCCATCTCGCTGAAGATGCTATTGAAATCTCGTACTAGGTCATCAAAGCCGAAGTTATCGTGGAAACGCATCCCTCCTCCTGGGCTGAAGCTGAAGCCGAAGCCAAATTCCTCAGAGGGATGGGGACCATCAAACCTTGGGCTTCCATGGCCCCATGTGCCGCTTTCTTCTTCTTCCTCATCATCCTCATCTTCATCTCGAGTCATCCCTCCAAAAAAGGGATCTCTGTGGCTGAGAGTGGAGGCAGATTGGCCACCAAGATTTCAGCACTACTTAAGCCACACCATCAACTCATGGGTGGCAAAGCGGGACAAGAGCAGGGGTTCGGAAGGCTAGGGAGAGGGTTGAAGGACTGGCCGTCAAATCAAAACATAACAGCTGACAGCTCTTTCTGGTTTGTTTTTATCAAAGTCAGTCCTCACCTCGCAACTCCCCGAAACACCTCCCCCCAGTTCTCTTTCCACCCCTCCCCTCTCCCCCAACGTCCTGCTCATCTGCTTATTGGCCTCTTTCCCAGACCCCATTGTCTTCCCCGCCTGGGTCCCTGTTGCATCACCCCGAGCTGGAGAAAGGTTTAGGTTGCTGTTTCTCCTCTTAACGACCGGCTTGGCTACTGTTGTGCGGTGAGTGCTTAATGCTGCGACTTCTGCTCTCTCCACAGGCGTTGAAGGAGTGGAGAAGATGCGTTCCCCAAAATAGCGTGTACGGGGCCAAGCTCCCCCCCAGACCAACCCGCCTTTGTCCGACCCGGGCCTACTCTCACCTCCGAGGTGCAGGAAAGCCAAAAAAGCCCCGGAAAAGGTCAAAGAGGCTCATTCCCGAATTGGGACTCGAACCTTTGAACCCCGCCAGCGGCCATTCGCCCCAGCCTGCGCGGCGCTGTCGGAAGTGAGCGAGGCGTCATCCACGCTGCCGGAAAGCAAGCCCGCGAGGTGTCGTAAAACGACGGTAAAGCTGGACGCTGGAATCAGGGCGGGTGGCTTTTCACCAATTTGAATAGCTTTATCTCCCCCCACCTTTCGGAGACCAGTTTCCTTCGAGGGGAGTGGACGTGACGAACTCTCATTTTCCAAGGACCACCTTTTTCCTAAGTCGATTCTCCTTCCTGCTACACAATCAGGCCCAAAAAGGCGCTTGGAAGGCTTGACTCTGGACGTACCAGATGCAGCCACCAGGGGGCAGCACAGCCGCGCCAGCCGAGGACCCGCCTTCGTCCCGCTTGCCACACCCGGGCCAGCCAGCCGGACAGCAGAGCCCCCTCGACCCCTTCCTTGGTTCTGTTTGTTTCTAGACTGGCCTGGGTGGTGTCTACTAGAGGGATGGACAAAACGTCTTACCAAGATCCTTTGAGCACTGACTTCTGCAGAGTTAAAGGCATGGGGACACACAGACCTAGCGTCCTCCATCTCCCTAGCTACTAGGTCATAACCCATAAAGGATTCTTTTAAGCTTCTTAAACAGACTCTGCAACCAGCAAGACAAAGGAAAGTAAGAAAAGGGAAGCCAGTGAAGAGTCCTGGGAGGGAACAGAGAACTGGGAAGTATCTTTTTCATACCACTTTTACAGCCTCTCCACCCACCTGTCCCTCCCTGTGTACCCCGTTCCCATGCCAGACCCTGCTCTAGACCCCTCCTTTTCAAGGGATTGGGATGCTATGTCACATGAAAGCATCCAAGAAGGAAGAACTCCTGTAGTCCAATACTAGAGGGAAAGGGGCCCCAAAGCTCTAGCATGTGCCGCCCGCACTTCTTAATGTACTTGCCTAGACCGAACTAAAGTCAAACTTACGCCTCCATAAAGGCACTTTTATTCTTTGAAATTGTATCGCCTCCACCTTAATCCTCCCCAACCTTTTCACCCAGTCTCCTCTATCCTTTTTCTTTTTTTTTTACTGCCTGAACTCTGCTGTAGATGTAGCAGTTTCTGAAGAAAACGAACATTTGTGATGGTTCTTTCCAGTCACCGGGTTGTGAAAGTCTTAGGGATGAAGGGAAGGGAAGCCCCTCAAAGACAAGATACTACTAGCACATTAAGGTCAGAGTAGTTCTTAAAGGGCGAAGATTTCATTTTATTCCACTGCCTTCCGGGGCCTGCTAGAGGAGGCGGTTGGTATGGTAATACTTATTCACCAAGCTGGTCACCGACGAGACTGAGGATGTCCTAGATGGAGCAAGAATGGGCAGAGGCTGAAGGTAGAGGTTTTCTTTTTATATATACAAGACACATTAATCCATTAAATTTGAGGACACAGTACAAAAAAAAAAAAACACTTCAACTAATTCATCTGACAATGCTGTTCATATTCATGACGCCTTTTTTTGTTGTTGTTTTGTTTTCCTAATAATAAAGAAGACTTAGGGCTGTTGGGCTGATATATATTTAGGGGTCCCCCCTCCCCACCTCACCCATACACCACCAGGGTGAATAGGAGGAAGCAAAGGAAGGGCAGGGCCCACAGCAAAGTTTCATAATCTTGAATGCAAGGGGGAGGAGGAGGGAGGAAGAGGGAAGGAAGGAAAAAAAAAGGAGAAAATACAAATCCTATAATACATACAACAGGGTGGGGATGGTATGGGAATGGGACAGACATGAAGCTGAGGCATGGGATGGGCCGCTGGGGGTGGGGGGTGGCAGAACCCCCCCCCCCACATTCCTTTCTCTTTGATGCTGTTTCCATAGTTTCCAGGCTGAGAAGCCCTCTCAGAAGATGGGACCAGGAGAAGAGGGTCAGGGCCTCAGTTGGCCCCCCAGCTGTAGCTGTTGTAGGCAGACTTGTTGGTCTGGGGCTTCTGCGGGATGGAGCTGGTCTGGCTACGTTGCCCGCTGCCCGTCTGCAGGGGAATGGGAGGATGATGGGGAGGAAAAAGGTGTCTAGTTAGTGGTACTCATTGGAACATCTGTAGGTGGAGCTGTGCAAATTGTCTTGCTCTCCTGTTTCCCTTATTTCTGTTAGTTCTTGGCCATAGACAATGTGGTGTACATAGCTGCTAGGGCCCCTCTTTTAAAAAAGAAAGAAGGTATGTTTGACCTTTAAGTAGGGAAAAGATGAAGAGAGAGCAAGATACCTTTGGAAACAACAGTGAGTCAGTTCCACTCATTTCCAGTTCTGTCTTCTCCCACCACCCTACCACCCTTCCCCTGCTCCTGGAGATGAGTGATCACAAAGTGATTTCATTTTCAGTGAACCCCATGAATGCCTCAATTTGGATGCTGTCTCCGAGAGCAAGGAATCCCTTATTCCAGCTCCAGCTAACTGTGATGGAGCTCTCAAGAGGCCACTTGCACCAACCCATGGATCCCCAACCCCACTGCACATCTCATCTGTGAGCCCATTTCAAGCAAGGCAGGAGAGACAGTCTGAGGCCTCAGGCTCCAGAAGCTGCCCCAAGAATCTTTTCTGTTCCAGTAACCAAGTGTTTTCCAGAGCTTGGAGAAGGGTAGAAAGATAAAGAGGGTGTTGGGGAAGGGATGAGGAAAGAGGAAGGGGAGGCCAGAGAGCTCAGCAAGGTGTTTGTGTTTGTGTATCCCGATTTGTGACCGCGCAGTCTTTTCAAGTTCCCTGAGGCTGTGGAGGTGAAATGGGGACTGAAAAGGAGTGGGTTCAAGCATATCATCATTCAATTTAATTACCTGCTCCTCCTGCTGGCGCTGGCAACAGAGAATCATCTGCAAATATGGTAGCTGAGGCAGAACCAGGATATATGGAAAATAAAGGGACAAACTTTGACAATAGAACTCCATCATTAGAAGGGAATTATGTCAGGGAAGGGGAAAGGCTGGGAGAGGTACAAGGGGAGGTGTGACCCAGGTCTGATGGGATGAGGACAGCTGTGGCATGGGAGGAAGTGAAGGACAAAGGCACCAAAGGAACTGGGCAAAAAAGGTTCAATCTGGCCCCTTCTCTGACATTTCCTTTGCCGGCCGCTTGTGTTATGTGCGCTTGTGTCTGTGTGTGCTGTGTGCCCATGGCTGGCGCTGGGGAGGGACTGGGTGAAGGTGGTGGTGAGGAAGGGTAAGAAAAGGAAAGGGGAGGTAGTTTTAAGGGATAGGAAGGAAGAGGAAGGGAAAGGAAAGAGGGGGAAGGGCTATTACCTGGCCATCCTGCTGCAGGTGATGGTGAAGGATCTGGGAGTGCGGCTGCTGATGGGGGGTCAGAATGTGCATAAAGGGGGCAGGTGGGTAGGCAGCAGCTGTGGCCGGATTGATGGGCCCCCCACTTCCTAGGGCTGAAGGCAAGTTGAAGGAGGCAGCAGGAGTACCGGAATGAAAACCTTGTTTCTCAAAGGACTGCTACCCAGGAGGCCAGGAGAAGAGAGAGTAAAAGGGATCAGCAAACGAATCTTGGGAATTTATATTCTGAGTCCAAGCTTCCCTACCCGCACAAAGTAAGCATGGTGTCACAGAAGGATATTTAGGTCTTAGTCCCAGCTGTGCTTTTTAATAGCTGCATGATCCTGGGCAAATTATTCCATCTCTTAGCCTCAGTTTCCTCACATATAAAACAGGGAAGCTACTGACCTCTGTTGTAAGAATCAAGTGAGAGGATGTATGTGAAAGTACTTTGTAAAATTGAATGTCATCTGTAAGCACTGTGAAATTTACTGACTGATCTTGGCATCCATGCCCCTGGTGTTGGGTGAAAATTAGAACTCCTTGGCTATTTCACAAGAAATAAATACACACTGAGACATCTGAAGTGTTGATGGTCTTGGCCATGATGCACTCTCCCCCA